TGCCTGAAGAGAGCACTGCATTGCACCCTTGAATACCTCGCCCCAGACACAGCTACTGTGGAAGAATGTGGCATCCAAACTTCAGTAAATGGCTGCTTACATTCCCCTTGGAAGTGTAGTTGTCGGACTTATCTACTTTTTCTACTAGGAAAGTTCATCTCTAAGTAACTTTTCTAACAGGCTAAGATTTAATGAGTCTAGCTGTAGAAAGAGCCTGTTGGCAGATAAGTTATGGCAGCTGTAAATCAGCCTACTTCCTGAGAAAATTTTCTTTTTTAAATTATTTTTTCACAGCATCATCTATGGAGGCTGAGCCTGTTGGTTCTAGTACTCAGGAGGCTGAGGCTGGAAGACTGACTTGAGGCCAACCTAGTCTAAATCTCTCAGTGGCATGTAAAGCCTTTTTTCCATCTCTGAAACAGCCAGTCCATTTGGTAAAAACAGACTGTGGTTTCAAGCAAACAAAATGACAAGGAGCAGGCATGCATTTTGGTTTTCTCCAGAGAACTATACTGGTTCATAGTTTCTGTGAGTCATGTCCTAGCTCAAGCATAGTTTCATCATTAAGGGTACCTTTGTGAGAGTAGGCTTGGAAAAGAAAAAGGTAAAAGAAATCATTTTAAAGGAATCTGAGTGAAGATTGTGATGTGAATTTGACCTTTAAATGTCATCTTTGCTTTGTTCATCCGTTTTCAGTGTCCTGCCGTCATCACGTCTCTGTGTCCTCCATATGCTCTCTATGATGTTCACTGGCCTCCACGTCCTCTTAGAGTTTCCACCAGACCTGGCTTAATAGTGTAATCAAAAGTGTTAGGTTCCAACAGAGGTTTTAAAAAGTAAATCGGCTGGCCAGCACAGTAAAGTGAGAAAAGGCATACAGACTAGAAAGGAAGATATAAAACTGTCAAAATCTTTTTCTGTACTGGAGATTTATTTCAGAGCCTAACACCTGCTAGGCAAGCACTTTACCACTGCACTCCTTTCTCAGCCCTTATTTCATATTTTGAGACAAGATCTCACTGAGTTTTCCAAAATCTACAATCCTCCTGTAGGCCTCCTGAGTAGCTGAGATTATAGGTACATACCAACACAAGTAACCCAATGAATCTTATAATAAAAAATGAAACAAAAAGCCCTTCTATAACTGAGTTTAGCAAAGTTACAGGATACAAGATTTCAATTAGTTAAAAATCTTGTATATTCATACAAAAATCAGTTATTTTCCTATATACTGGCAATGAACTTTTGGAAACAAAATTCAAAATATGATATTACTTGCCTTGCTCAAAGAATGAAATATTTAAGCATAAATCTACCAAACTACACAAAGAAATTGTGTGATACATACTATACTGATTATAGGAATCAGACAAAATCTTAAGTAAGTGGAGAGGTATGTGATGGTCATGAGTTGAAGAAACAGCATTGTAAAAAGAGGCCACCTGGTGTAGTTGCATGTGCCTATAACCCTAGCACTCTGGAAGGCGGAGGCAGAAGGATTTTGTACTTGGGGTATTCATTCTTACCGCACCTTGCTTTTGTAACAAATTGTCAGCAGTGTATAAGGACAGTCAAATCACTTGGAATTTATTTTTCATGGTAAACATAATTTTTATTGTGGTACAATATACATAACAAAGTTTACCATTTTATCCACTTAAAGTGTATAATTTAGCAAATAGAATTTTACTATGTGCATATATTTATATTTGCATATTTCCATTTAGGAAGTACATGAGTTTCTATTAGAATTATGGCTGTAGAAGCATTTCAGATAACTGGGTGTGAGTTTAGGAAAGCTTGTGTGGTAAACTGGTTCTCGCTGTGCCCTGTGCCTCCTGCTGCCTAAAGTGTCCTTGAGGCCTCTGGTTCAAGCCCTCTGCCAGGCCCTGAGCAGGGAGGACAGGGGGACTCCCTACACTGACTTGGATCCCTGCCACACCTCTGCCATCTTCCATCTCCACATGCCCTGCATCTGCTTCCGGCTCCTCCCTCTTCCTGCCCTTCCAGTGGAACTGATCTTTAGACGACAGCCTAGAGAATCCGGGGAACCTGTGGCAGGTGGTGCTGTGAAATATGGCCTTCTCTCTAGAGATAATCAGGTACTTGACCTACTCCACCTTCACTATCTGGAAGGTAGTCTGCCCTGAGTACCTACTGGAAGAGAGCCGTGGCTGTTGGAGAAGCCACCAATGAGGAGGATGGGTGGGCAGCCCGGGTAACTTCTCTGCAAGCTTTGTTGTCATATTTTAGTGACACAAATTTTGTTACGGACTCATCATCATCTATTTATAAATTTTAAAGTATGTTAGTAATTCATTCTGGCATCACAATGTTATTGATCTCTTTTCCTGTGGTGGCAGGGATTGAACCCAGGGCCTCAGGCATGTTAACCATGAGCTCTGCCACTGAGCTACACCCCCAGCCTCAACATTTTGTATCACATCATGGGCTTGATGACTTCCTCTGTGTATCCTTTTTCTCTACTTCAGTTAAATATTTATTTTAAAAGGTTTTTGAATGAATACTTTTATTTACTTTTGAAAAAACAAGCTTAATATAGTCATTCTTTTGCCAGACAGTGGCTTTGCTGTTTAAACATTTTAAAAGGATGGATTTTTAAAGAGAATGTATTTTCTTCAGTAACAAAATGAAATCATATGCAGAAGTAAACAGTTAAAAATAAATTATAATGAGAACATATACTTAGTACCAAAAGCTAACTTTTCTGTTACTGTTGTTACTTGTTTTTTGAGACAGGGTCTCACTATGTAGCCTAGGCTGGCCTCAAACTTGCAGCAGTCCTCCTGTCTCAACCTCCTAAGTTCTGGGATTGCAGGCATTCACCACCACACCCTGCTCCTGATCCATGTCTATTTTTTAAAACAGAGAAACTGGCTTCTATGGTACTACATATTTTATCAATACATAGTTACCCATTATCTAAGAATCTAAATTAAAATATAGGTGTGTGACCTATTCAACTTTAGCCAGTAGCATACTTTAATACTGAAACACCTTTGAATTCAAATAGAGCTTTTTAAGTCTGTGTGTACAGAACAGTATTTCTCAAAGAGAATTCCAATAAAATGCTATTGCTTGGCGGATAGTGATTACACCAAAAAGGGTTTCATAGTATCAACCTGAAGAAAGTATTTTTTTTTAAATAGGATGTTACAAGTACCTCTATTCAGAGCTTCCATAGCCTCTAGCATTTTACATTCCTACCAGCAATGGACAAGAGCTCATCTAGCCAAGCCACCTGCTACAAGCAAAGCTAACTGACTGCAGAATCCTGTTAATGACTTGGACCCCACAGAACATTTTCTGGTCAACTCTAAAATTTTTGGGCAATTATTAAATACTCTGTAATTATCTGGAAAGGGGAGTGGTTTTTGTCATTTTGGAGTTTTTGCTTTTGTGATGGTGGCGTTGTTAGTGGTAGGTATAGGTTCTACAAATCAAAGGCAACTGGGTTACCACTGAGTTACACTCCCGCCTCCTTGTTAATTTTTCTATCTTATACAAAGAAGTGATCTTTTTGCACTTATCTTTTACCATTCGCTAAATTGTCTTCTTTTTATAGCGTAATTCTGGGATTAAAATCTTAACTTAAACTTGGCAAATGTTTTAGCAAAAACAGAATAGAATTTTATGACTTAACAATAATAATAGTAATAACCATACTAGCATCACATAGCTAGTGCATGAAGCACCTCATCTGAGCACAGCAACCCTTATAAGGTACCATTTGTGCTCATTTTACTGCTTGAGATAATACAAATAGCCAAGTACTGATTACTTTCAGTTTGACAGAAAGGAAGATACAGGGGCCAGGAATTCAGTGACTTCCTTAAAATCTGTAGTGTATAAAGTTCCCCCTCCTTATTAACAAGGAGTTTAAGTAAAGGTCGGAGATTTGTCTTAGCAACACAGTCAGATCTAAGGTGAGCACCAGGTAAATGAAATCATATACTGTTTGTGCTTTTGTAATTCAGTTATATTTCTGTTTTAGGTAATTTTCATTATTATTTTGATGAATATTTGTTATACGCATCATCCTTTATTTACAATGGTTTAACTTAATATTTTTTGACATTTTGATGGTGCAAAAGCCATGTTCTTTCAGTAGAAACTATACTTCAAATTTGGATCTTTTGAAAGGCCACAGATCAGCACAGTGTGGTGGCACATACCCACAATTGCAGCACTGGGGCAGCTAAGGCAGTTGAATTGATTGTTCAAGGCCAGACTGGGCAATTTAGTGAGATCCTATCTCAAACAACAAGACTATAGCTCCCAGACAGCATATGATCACAAGGGGAAACAACTGAGACTTTACAGTGTATTGTATTGCTAAGCTATGTTATTTAGTGTTTGGTGGACTATCGATATTAAATGTATTTTAAACATACAGTGTTTTCAACTCACTGTGAATTTACCAGGACATAACCCATTGTATATACTTTGAGGAGCATCTGCTTGTCTGTTTTGGAAAAGTAAAATAAATACATAATCCAAAAGAAAAAGTAAAAATATCACCTTAAAATCCTCCTCAGATAACCTGTAAAAAAAAGTTTAATATCTGTCTTCTTTTCCTTCAGCTCATTATATGTAAGTGTACAGATACACACACACACACGCACACACACACACACACACACAAACAAAGGCATTTTAATTTGCTACCTGCTTTTCACTTAACAAAGTATCAAAAACATGTTTCTGAGTTCCTGAGTATATTTTCTACATAAGTATTTTGGTGATTGGATAATATTTCATGGTGCAGATGTATCATAATTGAATAATTTCTTGTTCTTGTACGGTTGGGTTTGCACATACATGGGTGCCTTCTGTCTTCCCTGTTTGAGTCATCAACCATCTTGAATTGTAGATGTTTAGCAGTGGGTCTATAAAGTATGCAGCCAACACATTAACTGGGCACTTAAAAGGCAATATGAGATGGTGAATACCTTTGACAGTGTCTTTTCTTGTTCCAGGACACCAGGGCTCTTCAGTTTGCTTGACACTCTGTGGTCCCCAGTGATGCCTCTTAAAGCCCCTGGCCACAGCCAGCCCTGCAGAGAGGTAAGCCCAGCACTGGCAAGCTCCCTGGCCAAGGGCTGCCCTATACCTGGAGCCAAGCCAGTGACCATACAGTCCATGTCCCCACAGTAGCAACGAGGAGCCGCCTGTAGCTGGTTCCTTTGTCTGTAGTAACATCTGAGTATGAGCCGGGACTGGGTTTGAGATCTCTTGGTCTCACTTTGGAGCCTAAGCCCTCGCCACTTCCCCTGCTGTGCTACACATCACACTCCTCGAGTTACTTTATAATATTTTGGTTTTGGTTGTTGTTGTTTTGGTGATACTGAGGATTGAAGCCAGGGCCTTTGCACTTATCTACAGCTCCAGGCCCCTTTTCTGTTTTGGTTTTTAATTTTATTCTGAGACAGGGATTTGGTAAATTTCCCAGGTTGGCCTTGAACTTGCAATCCTTCATTAGCCTGCAGAGCTGTTGAGATTACACATGTGTGCCACCATGACTGGCCTGGCCTTATGATGAATTTTAAACTACCCTTGCAAATACCTTTGCAACAGTCCGGACCTTAGCCTCATATCAAACCAGATACAGTGTTCTTCCTACCCTCTCCCAATCTCATAAAGTCAATAGTCAATTACCAATGAGCTGACGCAGAGTAGCCAGGAATTTTCATTTTCCTGCCACTGTAAACTATTTACTGGAGTGGCTCATAGGCAACAAAATGAATTAAAAAGTGTTCCCTTTTCCCCATCTTGGGCGTTGTCCATCAGGCTGACCAGTGGCAGCTTTGGAAACTACATCTTTGTGTAGCTGAATTCTTTTTTTTTTTTTTTTTTTTTTTTAAATTTAAGGAGAAAAAGGAAAAAAACAGAAAAAGGGTACAAGTAATACAAAATTTAAAAAATAAACAGTAAGAAATCACTAGTTAATAGATTACATATTCTCATCTTAGAAATAGTTAAGTTACAAAATTGAAGAATATAAAGTGGACTTTCAAACAGTGAGAGTGCAAAAAGTTTTGTTCAATGATCCAAAAAACACTCAATAATATGGTCATCTATCTTACACACTTAAACATATATGCAGTTATAACCTTTGGAGTACTTTCTTTTCTTTTCTTTTGTACAATGACAATTACACATTTTATTACTCCCACAGTTCTTATTACTTTTTTTGAAGAGAATAAAACCAAATGCGACATATCAGAACAGAGCCAGTCAAATCAAAAGGATGGACATAATAGATAATGTAAAAATAAAATATAAGGTGATCAACAATGGTTACCATACTGCCTCTTGCTATTTGAAGAAGAATTGGCAGTTATAATAAAATTGAACTAAACAGTAAAGAATAAAACCAAAGCATTGGAGACATTACAGAATTTTAAAAGAAAATAATAGTCAACCGGAATGGGCGTCATAATGAATCTTATTGTCTTCACAGTTGTTGCCTATACTTTCGAACTTGGTACTATCAAGCTACGCAGAATAGGAGAAAATCAGTCAAAACAAGATGGTGAGGGAAATACAGGGTTTCAAATCAAGTTAATAGGAAATCAAAGTAGGTTACTATAATGTATCCTGCTATTTTTTATTTATTTTTCCCTTAATTAAAAAAATAAAAAGAAAATAAATAATTTAAAAAAGGGGGGATTGAGATAAAAGAGGGCATAACAACAGAACAGCGCATGTCAAATCATAACCATTTAAGCAAAATAGTGTTTCACCACAAGATATCTTGACATAAAAATAGTTACCATAGTGTCTCTTTCCTTGAAATCTTTGAGTATAACTTCTTATACTATAGCACCAAACATATGAAGACACTATAAAACCATTCAAGAGAATGACGTTACAGGGTATTTAGAACCAGTTGACAGAAAATGTACAATGGTTTCTATATAAGCTCCTTGTCTATAAAAGTTTTTGCTTATATTATCATATATAATAAAATCCAATAAGATACAATCTTTTAAGACCGATGGAGACAGAAGAATACATGTTTGATGGGACTTCAAAACAAGATGATACTAAATCAGCACTAGCTATTATGATGCCTTGTTTTCTCCAAAATAGCTGTTCCTACCATCCAACCTTCTCTGCCTCATTTCTGTTGAGCTCTTTTTCTGTCATTTGTTGTCAGTTTGTCTTCTTCATTTCGTTTTCTGCTCCATTCATTGTGGCCTCTCTGCCACTATTCTGGGATCTTGGTATTTTCCTTTTTTAGGCTATCCTGTAGTATTCTCTATAGAGTTGAATTAGTGGTTGCAAATTCCCCTAGTTCCTCTTTATCCTGGAAGCACCTTGTTTTTCCATCAATTTCTAGGGACAGTTGTGCAGGATGTATCAATCTTGGCTGGAGGTTATTGTCTTTCAAAGCTTGAATTATTTCGCCCCAGGCTCTTCGTGATTTGATGGTTTGTGCCGAGAAGTCTGCTATAATTCTGATGGGTGTTCCCTTGTAAGTGATCTGTTTCTTGTCTCTGATGCCTTTTAATATTCTGTTCTTACATTGGATTTCTGGAATTTTGATTATTATATGCCTTGGTGTTGCTCTGTTTGGGTTGTAGGTGGCTGGGGTCCTGTATGCCTCATATATCTGAGTATCTTTACCATTTGCCAAATTAGGGAAATTCTCTTGGATTATTTCTGTGAATAGCTTTTGTAGTCCATTTGTTTGTGTCCCCACTTCTTCTCTTATGTTCTTAATTCTTAAGTTATAGATCCTCTTATCATCTTCTAGTTTTTGTATTGTTGCTGTTTTTTTGTTATTTTTAAGAAGTTTTTCATTTCATGCTCCCATATTACAAATCTGCCCTCCAGTTCAGATAATCTATTTTTAGTTTCTTTCAAGCTGTTATGCCAGTTTTCGATAGTTTTTAGTTTCCTGGTAATCTCTTTGAACCTGCTTTACGTATTCTATGTTTTCTCTATCTTCTCCATCAGACAATTCTCCCCTTTTTTTCTGTTCTTCCATTCCACCATCTGTTTTTTTCTTGGGCGGTGCTTAGTATTTCTCTAACTATTCTGCTTATGTCTTGCTTCAGGTCATTGATAACTTCATTCCTAAACTCATCTATGAGGCTCTGGAGATAGTGCTTTATGTCCATTGGTGCTGTGTCTGCTATTGCGTGTTTCTCAGGATTGGGGGCCAAGGACCCTTTCTTGTTGCTCCCTCTTCCCATATTCTTTGTTCCTTATATTCAAGCGTGTATAGGAGGCCCAGCTTCCTTCCTTGTTGGCCACAGTCTGTTTGAATTGTGCCGGCTAGGTGCCGCCCACCGCAGCGGCACCAGGGAGACACAGACCTGGGCAGCCTATGCTGGGCCCGCCCCTCCAGGTCAACCTACCCCAAGGCTTCACCTCTAGGGTGCACCTTCAGGCGCTGGGATCTAAGTTGGGCTAGCATATTGGGTCTCAGCCAGCGGCGTCTCTCAGGCCAGGCACTCCCCACCAATCCCACTTGAAAGGGGGATATGCGACTGAACTCACTGCAGCTTCTCATTCCGGGAAGTCTGCCTGGTCCTAGTATGTCCTCCACTGAAGCCTCCTCTATATAAGGGTCCCGATTCGCTCACTCACCATGGGTTGATCAGGGCACCCAGCCAGTCCCGTTCCCAACTCCTTTCAACGCTTCCCACTCTCCAGACTTTTGCGCCTCTCTCTCCGTTGTGCCGACCAGGATGCAACAGCGGCTGCAGGAAATTCAAATCGCAGTTTCCAGTGGTGCGGGTCCGGCTTCTGTGACGAGACCTTATCTGTGCCTGCTGTATCACCAGGATTGCGTTTCCAGATGGTTTCTCTTAATGTAGTTCGTTCCTAGGTCAGCAAAGAATATCCCCCCTTGCCTGGGACTTCCTGCCCGGCACCATTCCTAGATTTCAAGTGCAGTTTCTCAGAGAGCCTCTGAGGCTGCTGCTATCTATCTGCCATGTTCTTCTGGACCCCGTAGCTGAATTCTTAATAAGTATATTTATGACCCTGTCCTGTGGCAGACAGTGCAGTGGTTATCAAAAATGCCCATTTGTAGGGGTTTGGAATATATATTAGTGTTAGAGTGCTTATCTAGTATACACAAGGGCCTGGGATCCCCAGGACAATCCCTCTCAAAATATGCCTAGACAGTGCTTACTTATGTAATTCCTATATATTTTCAGTCCACTCTGAGGAATGAATTTCTAAAAGGAAATAATTTTTTTTAGACGAGACTAAATCCAGGGCCTCACAGATGCTAGGCAAGTCCTCTACTACTAAGCTACATCGTAGCCTCTTTTAATTTTATTTATTTTGAGACAGGATTCCCTAAGTTGCCCAGGCTTGGCTTGAATATAGAATACTCCTGCCTCATTCTCTTGAATATCTGGGATGATAAGGAATGTACCACTGTGCTCAGCTTGAAATTTTAAGTTGGTAATAAATTGAGAAGTACAGAATTTCTTATGCTTGGTCCCAGAACCTGACTTGTATCCTGTATGACCTTCCAGAAAAAGTATATGTCTATAAACAAATATATATATGAAGGATAGATTTTGATAGTTTATTTGAGACTTTGAACAGCATAATCATATTCTGCCTTTGCTTCATTTCAAACAGGTGAAAACTCATCTGTCCCCTCCTGCGTTCTGTTACGTCTTCTCAGCTCAGCACAGTCTAGCACATACTGATATCATTGAAGAAGATCCCATTTCTAAGCTTTATCAGCCTCCAGTTCTCCATTGTTTAAGAGAAATTCTCCAGGTAACATCTTTGTTTCTAACAAGTATAAGTACTTTTGCCATGAGCATGTACTTTCAGGTTACCAATCACTCTCAATGCCTTTCCAGACTGACAACCTGGGTGCTCGGTGCAGTTTCTGTGCAAGGTTGATTTATCAAAGACCACAGGTAATCCACCCTCACTCCCTCCCCCACCCTCTAGTTGGAGTGCCAAGGGAGGCTCACAAGGTTGAGCCCAGAATGGGCAACTTAGCAACTTGGTGATACCTCGTCTCAACAAGAAAAAGTAAAAAGGATATATATATATAGATAGATACATCCCCAGATATAGCTCATTGCAGAGGCTCTGGGTTCAATTTCTGCTACTATTGCAAAAAACAAAAGGAGCGCAAAATAGGAAAGTATTTATAACATCTAGGTAAGCATGACCCATGCTGATGTTCTAATACATTCATTCCTGTGTGAGTGTGGACTGCCAGCCACTGTGCTAAGTACTATGGAATAAAATAAACACAGAGATAACTCTGCTTGCAAAAATTCTTGGCCCCTTAACATTTGGTCTTTTCTGACACACAGGCAGGTTGAAGGGAAGAAAGAAGCCAGAATCTCATGCATATAGCAAAAATGGGAGTCTCGAGATTGCACACAGTTGCTTCTGGGAACTCCAAGAGCTTTCAGTGGTGGAAATGTCCTGGGAGTCACTGAGAGGCCTGGGGCGGCTTTAGGGAGTAGCAGCATAAATGAGCCTACTGTTAGGTCAGCTAGGAGTAGACAAAGGCAAGAGACGTCCTTGCCAATCTGAATACACGGATTAGGTTCTGTTGGACCTCAGCTTCTGTAGGAGTATCCACATAAATCTACTTACCTGAGAGGTACAAGTAAGTGCCCAGTGTTGGAAGTTGAATCCACGGCTTTCTGCTGAGCTACATCCCCAACCCTTTTTTAGTTTTTATTTTGAAGTAGGGACTCACTAACTTGCCTATGCTAAAGTTCAAACTTACAATCCTCCTGTCTCAGCCTCTGATCTACTAGAATTACAAGCCTGTGCCACCATGCATGGCTTAGAGTATCCTATTTGTTAAGCCCTTTTATACTTGTGATTGATCTACTCTCATCTACTGATGGGCAGATGAGACTGGGAATCCTCTCAGCACCTCAGAAGGCATCTTAGAAGGCTGTCACAGTCAGGTGAGAACACCAGGAAATTGCCCACTGAGGAAGCTGGATCCCGGGCAGGCAACCTGACCAGAGCCACTCAGGCACCCAACAAAATAGAACATAGGCACAGTGTTGGGTGGCCCCAGGGGCTCTTTTTTTTAAAACAAAACTGTAGTTGGTTATCAAGACTTGACATCTATCCCCCTGGCTTTTGTTTTTGCTACTAAAATATACAATTTCACTCCCACACACTTAATATGGATCTCTAAAAAGTATGTGTGTTTTGTGTACAGCCACAGTTCCATGTATACATTTTTTGGAAACAGCATCTTGCTAAGTTGCCCAGTTGCCCATGTTGGGCTCAAACTTGGGCCCCAGTCTCCCAGAGTGCACACCATGACCAGCCACAATTACTAGAGTTGGACATCCCAATGTTGGACATTTGTTTTACATTTTCTTTGATCATCCATAGACAGTGAAAGAGATACGAGATGGCTAAAAGAATATACTTCTTAACTTCTGCTTGAGTTATTCATAAGTTGCAAATATATAAATATCACTAAAATTCTGTTACTGTGAGTATGGTATACCAGTTTATTCCTCATCCGTATCAGAAATGGGCAAGTGGCTCCTGTAAAGGACCAAGTAGTCACTATTTTAGGCTTCCCAAGCAATATTGCTGTTTCTGTAACAACGATTAAACTCTGACTTGCAATACAAAAACAGCCATGTTGTCTTTCATAAATGGATAAACAGGACTCTATTTCAAAAATATTCATTTATAGACACTGAAATTTGAATTTCAGATACTTTTCATGTGTTACAAAATATTCTTGTGATTTCTTTCAACCATTTAAAATTGTAAAAAACTTAAAGGAAGTATAAAAAACCATAGTTAGTTTGTAGGCCATGCACCATCAGGTAGTAGGCCAGATTGCCACAGGTGTTGTGGTTTCCTGACCCAGGTATATGAGTTGTTCTTTGGGCCACCTTTGAGCTGTCCCAGTGTCTCCCTCAGCAAGCTAAGAGAAATAAAGGTGGGGATTGGGCATATGGAGTATCCTGTTTTTCAAATCCCAGGCAGGCAACCTGACCAGAGCCACTCTGACAAACTGAAGGCTGGCTTCATGTTTCTCTGCACATCTGCAGAATGCTAAGTGTGTGAAGACTCAGCTCAGCGTCAGGCACGTTCCTGTTACACCAAAGCACATTCCAGGCTTACAGGCAAGGCAGATTCACTGAGCAGGCTTCACTTACATTGCACGTAGAACATGGTCTTCAGAGAGTTGAGTAGCTACTGTTTATCTTCTGCATTCTACTTTTGTGGGAAACCGAACCACCAGGAACCAGCCTCCTGAGGGAAGTGAAATAAGCCGAGTCCTGGGTCAGTCTGTGGCTAAGCCGAGTGCTGCGTGCACTCTGCAGTGAGGACTGATGTGGAGGATGGCACCGTGAGTCTCTGCCAGAGCCTGAGTCACTGAAGAAGATCTGGGTGTTTCCATTACGCTAATGACTAAGTCATATAAGCGAAAGAGATTTTTTCTTTTTTCCTTAAGTTATTTTAATTTACCTTTTATTTTGAGGTAATTATAGATTCACAATAGATTGCAAGAAATAAACAGGGAATGCCCCTTACTCTACCCATGCTACCACCCCACACCCACAGTTACCACAATTCAAAACCAAGAAACTGACACTGGCACTGTCCATAGGGCTGATTCAGATTTCACCAGTTGTATACATACTTGCATGTAATGTGCACACATATGCTCTCACATGGTGTGTTGTCACACATACCGACTTTTATGATCATGAACACACTCTGTACCCTGCTGTCACCACAGATCCTCTTGAATTCCCCTTTTTAGCCATATTTATGCTTTTCCTTGTCCTTGACCCTGGCAACCACTGTGTTCTCATCTTTGTCATTGTGTTATTTTATAATCATTATATGAATAGAACTATGCACTATGTATCTACATCAGTTTATTAGAGCTTACATATAAGGTATCGAAAATTAGGTGGCTTTAACGACTATGTTTGTTTATTCTCCTACACTTTGAGCTAGGCATCTGAAATCAAAATGTTGAAGCTGGATGTGGTGGTGCATACGTATAATCCCAGCACTCAAGAGGCTGAGCAGGAGGATAATTATGAGTTGGAGTGAGAGGCCAGCATAGGCTACAAAATGAATTTAAGGCCAGTCAAAAGTGCATAGTGAAACCCTGTCTCAAAATGACCAAAAAAACTTTTAAGTTTTCTGAAGAATCTCCATATTGTTCCACAGTGATTGTACTAGTTTACAGTCCCACCAGTAATGCAGAAGGCTCCCTTTTTTGCTGAGTCCTCATGAGCATTTGTTTTTGAGCTCTTGATGATGGCCATTCTTTTCTGGAGTAAGCAGTTGTTTTGATTTGTATTTGTCTAATGGCGAATGATACTGAATCTTTTTTTAATGTGCTTGTTGACATTTGTACTTCTTTTCATAAATGCCTGTTCATTTCAATTTCATTTTTTATTAGATCTTTTATTGGGATATAATTTTTTCAGTTCTTTATCTAGATATTACTTATCTTTCCAACGTGCAGCTGGCAAATTTTTTTTCCCATTCCAGAGTTCCCCAACCAGAGTGAAAGTTTTCTCTTCATTCTGTTGGTTGTTTCTTTGGCTAGACTAAAACTTTTTATTTTTATTTTATTTATTTTTCTTATTTTAAAGAGGAAAAAAACACAGGGAAGAAAAACAAAAAGCAAAAGAGACAAACAAATAACAACAAAAAAACCCAAAACAATAACAATATAGAACTTCAAAACAAGATGGAAAGAATTTAGCAATGGTCGTTACATTGCATATTGTTTTCTTCAAAAGAGTTGCTTAAATTATCAGATATAGACATGCAAAGTTGATCTAATTGTCTGAGTATTAACTGTCTTCTTCCAAGAACTAATATAATTATTAGTATAATCATCGCTATCTCACATTTATATATACAAATGTATGTCTTTTCCCTCCCCCCCTTTTCTCCTTTCACCAATCCCAGTTATTTTTCCTCTTTGACTAGTTTCTTGCTCTTTCACATTATATATTATAGATTTTAGTCTCTCAGTTCCTTACACCAGGGGGAAAATATGGTATTTACACATGTGAGCCAGATTTATTTGTCTCAAGTCTCACCCATTTACCTAGGCAAGCCTCAATTTGATCCTTCTTTATAGCTAAGTAATACTCCATTGTATAAAAATATCGTATCTTTTTTTACCCATTCCTCAGTTGATGGGCATTTGGGTTGTTTCCAAGATTTGGCTATTATAAATTGTGCTGCTATAAACATGGGTGCACTTATTTCACTGTGTTGTGATGTTTTTAATTCTTCTGGGAATATGCCCAGAAGTGGAATAACTGGGTCAAAGTACTGACTCTAGTACTAGCTTTTGAGGAACCCCTAAACTGATTTCCACAGTGGTCGCAACAATCTGCACTCCCACCAACAGCAGAGAAGAGTTTTTTTCCTCCCCACACCCCCTCCAGCATTTTTTATTGGGTGGTTTCTTGATTTTGGTCATTCTTTCTGGAGTAAGATAGAATCTCAAAGTTGTTTTAATTTGCATTTCTCTAATGACCAATGATGCTGCACATTTTTTCATGTATTTATTTGCCATTTATATTTCTTCATCTGAGAAATGTGTGTTCAATCTCAGGTGCCCATTTTTGGATTGGGTCTTTGAATTTTGGGGGCCTGATTTTTAAAAATTCTTTATATGTTCTAGACAGAAGTCTTATGTCTGAGGGACAGTTGGCTAAGATTTTTCCAGTTTATGAGTTTTCTTTTCACCCTATTGGAGATTTATTTTGACCTGCAAAAACTTTTTAATAAGATGAGGTCCAGTTCATTCTGGGAAGTATTTTCCGTGCAATTTGATTTTTGTTCACTCTCTGCCTACCCCTTTGTCTTCAAGATTTCTACCTACTTTGTCTTCTAGGAGATTTAGTGTTTCTGTTTTAATGTTTGGATCTTTGATCCATTTTGACTTTGCATGGTAATAGACATGTGTCTAGTTTTAGTTTCCAGCATATGGAAAGCCAGTTTTTCCAGCACCACTTATTAAAGAGGCTACCGTTCTTTCACTGAACATGTTGGCCCCTTTGTCAACGATAAAGTGGCTGAGTGTGTTTGTAGTTGTGGTTGTATCTTCTAATCTATTCCATTGTTCTACAGGTCTGTTTTTATTTCAGTGCCATGCTGATTTTATTGCAGTAGGTTTGTAGTATAATTTCAAGTCAGGGATTGTGATGCCTCCTGCCTTGCCTTTGTTGCCCAGAATTTCCTTTGCTATTCTAAGTCTCCTCTCATTCCAGATGAATTTTAGGAATGATTTCTCTAGATCTGTCAGGTTTGCTAATGGCATTTTGATTGGATTGCATTAAATCTACATAACAATTCTGAGACAAAAGCCATTTTCACAAATGTTTGTTCTTCCTATCCATGAACAAGGAATGTCTTTCCATTTTCTGAAATCCTCTTTGATTTCTTTTTTCAGAGCACTGTAATGTTCAATGTATATATCTTTTACTTTCTTTGTTAGATTGATGCGTAAGTGTTTCATTTTTGGGGGTGCTATTGTGAAGGGTATGGTTTCCCTTATTCCTCTCTCAGTGAGTTTATTGAGTGTTGACTTTGTATCCTGCTACATTACTATTCTAAAAGAAAACAACTTCCAACCCAGATTGATGCACCCTGCAAAACTATCCTTCAAAATTGATGAAGAAATAAAACTTTATAATTATGTTTCTATTTGTTGATTCTTGGTATTATTTCTTATGCACCTATTCTGTTCAGAAAGTTTTTGTTTATGTCTATGTTTTAAAGAGTCTTATCTATTTTAACTTCTAGCAGATTGAGTATTTCTGTTTTAATATCTAGGCCATTGATCCATCTTGATTTTATTTTACTATACGTGGTGAAATGCATAGGTCTAGATTCTTTGTTCTACATGTAGATAATAAGTCTTCCCAGGACCATTTGTTAAAGAGGCTATCTTTTCTCTAGATTTTTTTTTTACCCCTTTGTTAAAAATGAGTTGACTGAATGTGCCTGGAGTTCTTTCTGCATCTTCAATTCTGGTCCATTGGCCCACATACTTGGTTTTGTGCTAGTATCATGCTGGTTTTATCACTATAGCTTTGTAATATAACTTAAAATGTAGGATTGTGATACCTCCTGCTTTGTTATGGTTTCCCAGGATGGCTTTTACTATACTGGGTCTCTTCTGATTCCATGTGTATTGTAAGATTGTTTTTTTCTAGTTCTGTGAACAATGCTATTGGTATTTTGATTGGCATTGCATTAAATCTATATGTCATTATTAGTAATATAGCCATTTTGACTATATTAGTTCTTCCTGTTCAGGAATAGGGGATAAATCCATTTTCTGATGTCCTCTTCAATCTCTTTTTTCAGAGTACAGTAATTTTCATTGTAGAGGTTCTTTTTTTTTTTTTGGTTTATAATATAATTTTGAAGCTATTCAAAGTAGGATTATTTTCATAGGTTTCCTTTTCAGTTGATTCACTGTTGATGTACAGGACGCCACTGACTTTGTGTGTTGATTTTCTATTCTGCTAACTGCTGAAGTTATTTGTTCATTACAGGGATCTTTTGGTGTAGTTTTTTGAGTTGTCTAAGATCATGTTGTCTGCAAATAAGGATCGCTGATATCTCCCTTTCCTGTATATATCCCTTTTATTTCTTTCTCTTGCCTGATTGTTCTGGCTGATGTTTTGAGTACTATCTTGATAGGAATGGTAAGAGAGGACATCTTGCCTTGTTCCTGATAAAGTCATGATCCCATACCAGTACCTCCAACCATAGACCATTACCACAGAACTTTCTCAAGATTTTCCCCACTTCCATGTGTATAATTCCCTGAATAACAGTGAAAACCTGACCCTGTTTTCTTCAGTATTAATGACTGTGACTTCTGTGTGTAATAACTGTCCCTACCACATAGGGGCCTCCTCCATCCCACACCTCCTTACCATGCAGCTATCTTCTCTGCCCAGTCCTGTTGATCAGCCATGTGGAATCCTCAGCCTAATGACAGCATCTGTGCCAGCCACACCACTGCACATTAGCTAGCAAAACCCTCACACCCCATCCAACTGGTTGTCCTTGGCCCATGTGAATCTGCTGAATCCTGAGCCCTGTTTGAAGGCAGGGGGAGAATCCCCGTTTACCTGAACCTTTAAAAGCATTACAACTTTTATAGATGAAGAGAAAAGAAGAAAAGTCATAATAAAAAAAGAAAGACTGAAAGAAGAACAAAAGCTATTGTGTAGATACAGCAAACACGTGACACCTGCTGTATACCAAGGCCTTGCACAAAGTCTGAGGGTGACTGAGCTGTATTCCCAATCATCTGGAAACTTGCAGCTTCCAGATAGAAAAATGCAGGCACACGAGATAGAAAATGACATTCTAAGTATACAAATGCCAGATTAGGCTAGAAAGAACCATGAATGTTACCTGAACAGGTCTGAAGAAAGCACTGCCACCAGAAGGTGGGTTGTATCCAGGGAAGAACCCGTGACCCGTGCAGCCAGTGCAAGGCTGAGCACAGCCCTGTTAGTGACCTTTTGGCAGGTCAGATTGTTTGTGCTGAGCGGACTGTCCTCTTGCTTCAAAAGTCCCTTTTGTGTGTGGGCTCTGCTGCTAACTCCTGTGAGCTGACTGGCCCAGTGAAGCTGGATGAATGGGACTCTTTGACTCCGTCAACTCCATTTCTAGTGGACAAGGTGGGCGCCATCTCACTGGAAATGGTATTTATGTCTTAACTAATGATCTCTACTGTATGTGTAAAGGATTTTCAAATTAATATCTTAATCTGTGAATGTTAATCCCCTAAGATTATTGCTTTTTAAATTGTTGAATATAAGAATAGTTAATAGCCTTTACTTTTAAATTGCAGTTAAAGAACCTGCTTCTTTTGGAGCAAAGGGAGATATGGCTGCTTGTGACTGACATCAGCCTGCAAACAAAGAATCAGAGTGGCCCCCACCTCCCCAAAACCCTGCCAGTCTGTGTGACTTCCTCGTGCGTGCTGTGCCCAGAAGTTCTGCAAGCACTCACCATGGCCACACCTCACAGCATCTTCTTCAAGGACGCTCTCAGAGACCAGGGTGTGCTGGCTTCTTCTCAAGAGCTTTGGTTGGGGTAAATGGTAACCAGCAGTGGCTCTTGAAGCTTCCAGACACCTCCATTTTGCTCTGCACTGGTGTCACCTTCATAAAGTCCAGCACAGACCCAGCCCGCAGAGGTCCGTGTTACCTAAGCCTTGGGCTTTTGCTGATCCCTGTCACAGTCACCTGGGCAGAACCAGCATCCGCATGGAAACACCACTGAGCACTCTGGGATTATCTGTTGGCAGCACCCTGTGCCCATACAAAAATTACCTGGAGCCCTTTCCTGGATGGCTGCTTTTAAAATCAGACCAAAAATTAGACCATTTTAGGTTTATAGGCTTTAGGCCAGTTAGCTTCCTTTTTTTTTAGAGAACAAACTAAAGTCCAATCTATTATTTTTTTATACTTTATTTAGACAAAATTTGCATGCTATAAAATTTACCTTTTGAAATGGAATTTGAATCCAATATCTGTATACTTTCCCATCTTCACCCACTGGAAGCTTTGGGGTTTACTTCCACACAGCACGTGTCCCTCTAGATTAGGAGCAGGTGGCCTCATGCATATACCTTTTCACCTCCATAACCTGAGGTAAGAGGCTGCTAAAGGAGACTGTCTTTACTGGCAGAAATCACATTTTTCTTAGTGCTTCAATAATCAGAAGTGTCTCTGTTGGCAGGTCGGATTGTTTGTGCTGAGCGGACTGTCCTCTTGCTTCAAAAGCCCCTTTTGTGTGTGGGCTCTGCTGCTAACTCCTGTGAGCTGACTGGCCCAGTGAAGCTGGATGAACTGGACTCTCTCACCCCTGTCAACTCTATTTGTAGTGTACAAGGTGGGTGCCATCTCACTGGAAATGGTATTTATATTGTCTTAAGTAATGTGTTACTGTATATTCATTTAGTCAACAAGATTTTGTTGCTTGCCTATGTTCCAGACATGGGATAAACAGGAACAAAATGAGGAGAAGTTCTTGCCTCTTGGACTTAGAGTCCATATAGAAAGTTATGTGTCGTCTGGGGGTTTAGCTCAGTGGCATAAGCACCTGCCTTGCAAGCAGGCGGTCGAGAGTTCGATCCCCGGTACCGATAAAAATGAAAAAGACAAAAAAAAAAAAAAAGAAAGTTATGTGTCTTAGTCACTTATTCACTGTGAAGACAAAATACACAACACTCACAGTTTAAAGGAGGGAAAGCCCTATAATCCAGTCACTTTCCACAAGATTCTGCTTCTGAGCACGTAAGGCTTTGGAGAGGCATGCGTACATAGCTGTAACATTGCATAAGTTAGGTAAGTGCACAAAAAACCATAGAACACCAGCATTTCCGGTGTTTCAGCTGTTAACTAGACCTACACCATGTCTGGGAGATCAAGAAGGCTTCCTAAAGGCAGGACACTGGAGCTGAGATCTAAAGAGTGGAACAGTTTATATTCGGGAAGGTGTCAAGCAACAGGGCTTACTAATGTGGCTAACAGGAGAGCTGGCGGGCAAGGAATAGACAGAATGCGTAGCTGGGTAGAGAGAGGAATGGTGAGGAGACCAGAGGGCCAGCTGAGTCAGAAGTGTGCTCTGCTGTCTCCAGAGAAGGCTGTAGGCTGACTTATCTCCCTTGAGAGCAGAGAGAGGGGCCAGTATAGTAATGGTAGCTACAGAGAAGTAAATCCAGTGACAAATTTATTTAGGAGAACAACTGGTGACGTGGGTGATGAATTGGGCCAAGAGGGGGCAGGGCCCAGACAGGGAAAGGACATATGTACCACAGCCACATCTGGCTCAGGCAAGGAGACAGTGGTAATGACGTTTTCTCACTAGGTTAACATGGACAAGGCAGCTTTGAGAGGACCACTGAGTTCTGTTGGGAGAGGTCAGGTATCCTTGTTATATCTGAGATGATGTTTCGGTAGCTACTTGCATATATGAATTGGGAGCTGAAAATAACATTAATGCTTTCTTTATTTGTTTTTTTTCCTTTGTGACATGGTCTCATTGTATAGTTCAGGCTGGCCTTGAACTCCTTGTGTATATCCCAATTTGGCTCAAACTCATCATGATCCTCCTGCCTCAGCCTCCCAAATGCTGGGATTACAGGTTTGCAAAAGCATATCTGGCTTCCTAAATAATTTTTATGAAGTTAAAAATAAGAAAACATTTTCAAGAGGGATGATACACTTTGTAATCCCAGCCCTCAGAAGGCTGAGGCAGGAGGATGTAAGTTCCAGAATAGCCTAAACTATATAGCATAAATTCAAGTCCATCCTAGGCTAAATATTAAAACCTTGTCTCAAAAAAAATTTTTTTTTACCGGTATCAGGGATTGAACTCACAACCACAGACTTGCAAGGCAGGCGCTTATGCCGCTGAGCTAAATCCCCAGCCCTCAAAAAATTTTTTAGTAAAAACAGCCAGGCATGATGGCACATGCTTGTAATGTTAGACTTGGGAGGTTAAGGCAGTTGGGTCACTGTGATTTTGAGGCCAGCCTGGGCTACATAGTGAATTCAAGGCCAGCCTACACTATATAGTAAGACAGAGGGAGGGAGGGGGAAAGGAGAGAGGGAGAGAGAGAGAGAGAGAGAGAGAGAGAGAGAGAGAGAGAGAGAGAGAAAGAATCTTTTAACTAAAACAAATTGAAAATTATTTAGTATTAAAAGTAATACATTGGACCTAGTAATAGCTAAATGAAAATATAGCTAAATTACTATCTAAACAGTGTCTAAAACATCAAACTTCTAAAACAAACAAATGTGAACTTAGGGGTTCCATTTTCCCCACTTTAGGCCATCACTACCTCTTTTTTTTTTTTTTTTTTTTTTCTTTTTTTCTTTTTTTGGAGACAGGGTCTCAGTAAATTGCCAGGGCTGGTCTCAAACTGACATGTCTCCAGCTTCAGCCTCTCAAGTAGCCTAGGATTACAGGTGTGTGCCACCACACTGAGCTCCTGGTTCTTTTATAATTTTTATGAACAATTATAACAACAAAAATTGTGGTTGTTCTGTTTCCTGTTGCTTGAAATGAATCATGCCCTGTTTGTGACATTGAGTACTGTTGGTTGTGGTAAGGCCATTTGGATTTTCTCTTTTGCATTTGCTGAAATGCAAATGTGGTCATGAGTTGATGGGGAAAAAGAAGGCAGTGGGGCGCAGAGGTCCTAGAGACAGCTGAGTCCACATTAAAGCCGCAGGTCACCTGAAGCCTCCATTTTCCCATCTTTAAAATAGGGATATGAGGACTGGGAATTTAGCTCAGTGGCCTAAGCACCTACCTGGCAAGCGTGAGGTTGTGAGGGTTGTGAGTTTGATCCTTGGTACCAAAAAATAAAATAAAATAAGGATATGAGAGTTCATAAAGCATTGTTAAGAATTAGATGAGAGCTGCAGGGATGGTGGGGAAGGGGGAAGCTAATTGTAGTAATTGGAGATGAAGACACAGTCACTGGATTTCTCCTGGGTGGCCTAGGGGAGCTTAAAAGAGTTGCCACCCTAATTTCCTGATGGTAGAGAAGGATATAACCATCAATGAGATCGAAGATACCTTCTGGCACTTTTCAAACCAGGATGCCATCAGCATCACCCTCTTCCACCACTGAGTATATCACAGAGGTGGTTCAGCATGCCCTCAGTGCCCAGCAGCACTCCCTTCCAGTGGTCCTGGAGACCCCATCCAACGAGCACTCCATCCTGTACAGGGCCAAGGGCATGTCGCTGCTGAAGACCTGGGCTGGGGCCACCCCAGCCCTGCAGCTCCCCCAGCATGGCCAGGCCTCTCCCAGCCCCATCCCCCCACTGCTGGATGGGTGATGCTTCTAGGCCACTGGGGACCTGCTGTTAAAACCAGCCTAGTTAGGGATAGCAAGCCCAGCTATCTTCTCTCTCCTCTACTTACCTCTTCCCTGTGCTGTTCTTCAGTGTCACTGTCAATGTTAAGTTCAAGTAATATTCTTGTTTCTCTAGCTCAAAAAAAGAATGAAATGAGATAGTACTGGAGAAAATAAAAACCTCAGTACTTCTGCTATCAGGACCTAGAAAGGGAGGCATAGGCCTCACAGGCCTAGAGCCAGCATCACAGTAACCTTGGAATGTCTGGATTTGTCAGGCAGAGTTGACACAGGCCTTCCAGGAAAATAGAAGAACACACAGAAAATCCACAGACATCCTGGAGCAGCTGTAAAACCTCCACGTGCGGGGGCAGAGGCAGGGCAGCGAAGGGTGAGGTGGGCGCCCTGGGCAGACCAGCTGGGACCAGGTTTGTGCTGCCTTACTCTGCTTTCCCCAGCCACGCTGAGGCTGTATGGTCAAAGTTTTACATCAGGCAATTCCCGAGCATGACACATAGAGCACAGTGCAAAGCAGGGGGAGACTCTTGGCAGGAAGAGTCTAAGAAGGACAGCGGGCTTTTGCGGTGAAGTGAAATGGAGACATCAGCAAGCCAGTACAGGACTGCTGCTGTGTCCAGCTGCTCAGTGCCACTGAGCTGTGCAGTCGGGGACAGTCCAGATCCCTGGAGCAGACAGGCTGTGAGGACAGAGTTCTTGGTCCAGATGGACACACTCTGTAGTCCCTTCAGTGGACAAGCTATCAGGACAGAGGACACTGTAGCAAGGTTCCTGCCCAGGTCCCTGAGCCGACAGCCCAGCAGGTTACACCCCACAGTGTGGAGGTGCGCACCTCCTGGCTCCCTGAACATGTGTGCCATTAGCCCTGGCCGCAGCTGGGCTTTCCATTCTGTTTAATATCTGTATTCCCTTAGCAGAACCATACTCTCTTGCTTACTATAGCTGTGTTACATGTCTTGAAGTTGGGTATTGTAAGTCCTCCAGTTTTGTTTTTCAGTATCATCTTGGCTATTCTAGCCTTTTGTTTTTCCATATAAACTGTAGGATCAATTTGTTGATGATGCACAAAAGAGCTTTGCTGGGATTCAGACTCTACACTGAGTCTATAGATGAAATTGGAAAAATCTGCAACACTTTTGAAATGTTCTTATCCATGGTCATGGAATTTTGATTTTACAGTGGGACCTTGGTTCACAAACATGATTCTTTCCATGATTCTGGTCACAAACGGAGTTGATGAGAATCCACTGAAATTCAGTGCTTATGTTGACCTCATGGGGAAATCAGACTTGGTTGTCATCCAGGTCAGTTTAGGACTAGAATCATGGACGAAATCTGGTTCATGAACCAAGGTACTGTTGTATCTTCTGTGATTTCTTTTAGTAGAATTTTTTAGTTTTTTTCAGAGAGATCTTGTAAAATTTTGTACAATTTATACCTAAATACTTCCTTTGTTTTGTGTTAACATGAATGGTATTGGGTTTTTTATTTCAAATTGCTCATTGCTAGTACATAGGAGCACAATTGTGTTTTGTACATTAACCATGCATCTTACAGCCTTGCTATAATCATGTAGTAGTCATTATCAAATACACAGTGACATAGAATTGCTACTTTAGAATTTTTCTATATAGGAAAGTATGTCATCCATGAACAATGACAGTTTTATTTCTTCTTACTCAACCTCTATACCATTCTAAAAATTTATTTCTTAAAATTTTTAATTATTTATGCATGCATAAATGCTGAAGATTGAATCCAAAATCTCTGTGTACTATATAGACCTTTTATTTTCTTTTTTTGGTCTTGTGCAGGCAAAAAAGCTTCTAGTATTATGTAGAAAGCAGCTATGAAGAGACTTCCTTGCCCTGTTCCTGATCTTAAACCAATACCATGCAGTTTATCACCTTAAACTTGATGTTAGTTGGAGGAGTTTTATTATTGTTCCATCTAGTTTAGATAGTATCACTTAGGAAGAAAAAAACATTAACTCTCTTGTACT